ATGAAGATAAAAGAGATCCTCAACTTATTGGTGATAGAACTATTGATCTAAATGAAGTTTTAACCAAGGGTGAATGGGATGGTAACTATTAAAATTGTCATTCGCAGGCATTTACTTTTTGTTAAACAATTAATTAATTAATTAATTTATTGTTAATGATTAGAATGGCATGAACTTAAATATGGTAGTAAATATGCAGGAGAAGTTTTTCTTGAAATGACATTTTATGCAGTAGGTGGAGCAGGGATTCCTCTACAACGAAAAAAACTACCCTCAAGACCAAAATCTGAATCGCCTGTTTCATCGCCGCCACCTGCTTCTTTTATTGCTCCTGCTGCTGTTGCTTCTACCACGTCAGCGCCAGCTGCTTTTGTACCCCCAAATGCATATCCACCTCCAGTAAATACCAACAATAGTAACCAATTTATTCCTCCAATAAATGCCAACAACAGTAACCAATATCCACTTCCAATCAACAATAATAACCAATATCCACCTCCAATCAATACCAACAACAGTAACCAATATCCACCTCCAATCAATGCCAACAACAGTAACCAATATCCACCTCCACTTTCAGTCAATAATAGTGGTCAATTCAATAGCATTCCTCCAATCAATAACAACAATAGTGGTCAATTAAATAGTATTCCTCCAATCAATAACAACAATAGTGGTCAATATGCTCAAATCGCAAACTCAACAGCCTATCCACCTCAAAATATTTATCCACCAATTAACCCATTAATGTCACCACAACAAAATTCAGCAAGCTTTTTTCCGCCACCACCTATTCAACAAGGTTATCCTCCATCAAATAATAATTTTGGTGGTGGATATCCTTTAGTTTCTTCACTACCACCTTCAAATGATCCATCATTATCTGTATCGTTTCCTATTCCTATTCCTACTCCTACTCCAAGTGTTAGTGTTCCAAACTATGCATATCCACCGCAAAATATTTTAGGATCAGGTTACCCACCACAAAATAATTTAGGATCAGGTTACCCACCACAAAAAAACTAAAATTTTTTTAATTTTAATACTATTTATTATTATTATTATTATTATTATTATTATTATTATTATTTTATTATTTTGTAAATTATTATTCATATTATAGATAAAAATATAATATCATCGATTATTATTTTTCTCTCTTTATTTCTAAATATTATTATCATCTATGTATCTTTATCCCCAAGGCAAACTATTAAAAAATAAAGTAATTTAACAAAGATGAAGAGTTTAGACGATATGAATAACTATTATCATTAAAAATATCAATTATTTATGAAAATAAATAACTCCCAAAAAGGAGTTAATACTTCCTATATATTACAGGAAATTCCTAATTTTTTGACCGGAATTTTGGAAAAACCTATATACAAAATTTAATGGGGTATTCGATATTGGTTGATTGACAAACAGTGTTCGAAATTCGATCTGCAAGAATTTTTTTGCGCACATCCAAATTATCCAATTAAAAAAAAAATTTTTTTCCGATTTATTTTTTTTAAATTACAAAAATTACTTCTAAAAAAATTTCTTCTACTTTTTTTATTTATCCAATGTTCATATGCATTCTCAAAATTAAAATCCTCAATATCAGGTCCATTTAATTTAATAATTAAATGTTTATTTAATGTGCTAATATTCATTTTGTTTCTTATTTTATCCTTAATTAATTTTGTTTGAGAAAATATTCTTTCAACATTAGCATTTGAAAGAGGAATAATAAGTGCTATTTTAACTAGAAGAGCTATATTTGGATAATTAAATGAAAAATCCTCATTTGAATCAAAAATATTTTTCCAGAAATTAATAAAACCTGTTTCTGTGAGTTTATTACAACGGAAAAAATTTTTTACTAAAGGCCATTCTTCATTAAGTGTATCTTTATGAATAATTTCTTGGAATTCATCTCCATCTATGATTTTAATTTCTCCATAAAATTTACCAAGAAATTCTATTTCTTTATTTCCATATAAGTCTAGTTGGTTATCATCATCTGGAATTTCTTTTGGATCAAAAATGCTAAATGAGCCATATAATTCAGATTGTGGAAATCTTTTTTTAATAGCATTAATTATTGCAATTGAATATTCTTTTACAAATAGTGGAGGATCATGTTGATTTTGATTTAAATAATTCTTGAAGATTAAACCATTTTTAGGTGGAAAATCTTCATTACCAATAAATTCACACTCTATTTTACCAATTGCAATATCAAGTTCTGTTTTAAATTGAGAGAATGATAAAAAATCCAATTGAAATATATTGATTAATTTTTTTAGAATATCTGTTAAATCAGCAAAGTACATTGTTGCTAAAATAAAATCTTCATCTATCTGGTTGTATAATGATTCAGCTTGTATATCACCTTCTTCAACTCCTTCATTGAGGGCTGCAAGCACTGAATCCATTATTCTATATAAATTCCCCACAGAGTTGGAAAAAGACAACCATCTGGTATCACATAAGTTTAATATTACTAATGATGGTTCATTATTAATACCCTGCATCAATTCTAGAATATTTTTTCTTTTATGTGATTTAGAAAAATACACATAAAGATTTCTTAAAATTCCTTCATATTTTTCAAAATATAAAACTTCATCTGAAGCATCTTTTCCAGCCAGATGAAGCCTATGTGATACACAATGATTAGATGACATGAATGGATTCATTTTTTTAAGCCTTGCAGCAACACCACTTCTATAACCAATCATATTAGATGCACCATCACTTCCAAAATGAATTATTTTTTGAGAAGATATTTCATTATTGTCACAAAATAATCTTACTTGATTGAAAATATTTTCAGCAGTGGTAGATTCTAAATCAATCATTCCTAAATATCTCATATATGGTATATTATCTATCATATATTTTCCTACAATTGCTAGATATTTACTATTATCAACAGAGTTTGTCTCATCAATCAACACACTCCAATATGGAGATAAATTCAATTCTTCAAAAAGCTCCTTTTGTATAACAGAAACTATGCTTTCTAAAAACTCAAAACCAGATTTATCATTGGTATAGCTTCCATAAGTTGATTTAGATGATGATGGTTTTTTTATGGAAGCAGATTTTAAATTGGAGCTTTTACCACTGATTACTAACTCCTTTTGATTTTTGATTTGTAGTGACATTAAATCACATAAATCAGGATAAATATTCAATGAAATTATTGTTAATTTACATGTGCTCAATTGATTTGATTGAATTGATTGAAATTGTTCTGCTTCAAGTAATTCTTCAGATTTTTTGTGTTCTTTGGTTTTTAAGTGTTCTTTAATTCTTAATAATCTTAAACTAGATGTGCCTCTTGCAAATCTTGTTTCCCCATTTTGATTTCTACATATTTCACAATATAGGGTTGTTTCTTCATTAACAATTTCAACTCTTAACCATGGATATGATTTAATCCATTCAGGATCAATAGTTTTTCTATTATGTGATCTTTGTTCATCTCCATAACTCTCAGTTTTATCACTATTAATTGATTCATCTGAAGATATTTCAAAAATTTCCATTGGCTGAACTTGCATTGGAATATTGGAAGCTTTGCCAGAAAAATCAACTGAATTTGACATTTTAAATATACTAAACAAAAATTAACAAAATCTTTAAAAATTTTCAACAAAAAATTTGGTAATTAAATTTGATATAATTTTTAAATGATTGAAATTTGCAAATAAATAGCATTGTGGAATAATAAATCCTTCAATATTTGTTACGCAAAATACCCTATAAAAAATAAAATATGGAATTTCCATATGTTTTATACAGACATATAAAATAAATTACAGAATTTCAGTATTTTATGTACATTCTAAAAATTTTCCATTTTTTAAAACTGTAATGAAGGGTATGGAATTAATATGGAATTAATACGGAATTTGTAAGATATTGAAAAGGTCTTGTTTATGGTAACAATATGATTAACATTCTAAAAATAGTAGTATATATATATTAATATCTTTAATAATTCCTTGTTAACCCTTGTAAAAACAATGATCTAATGTCATTATCTCTCTCATACTCATTTGTTTTCTCACATTCATTTCCTTATTAAAATAATTCTAATGGTTAACCCTTGTGAAAATAGAAATTCTAATGTCACAAAATTCCTTATTGAGATATAAAATTTGTAATTAGTATAGTTGGCTTGGTCTAAAGGTCTCCTAAATTTTGTGCTAATTGTGCTATTTTATACAATTATTTTTACAAGTGAATTAAATAAATAAACATTTCTTCCTCTACTTATTAATTAACCTGATGTTTTTTTCACTTAGTCAAAAGTGACTTATTTTTGTAATGATTTTTTAGGTCAATCATTTAAATAAAATGTCCTATAGTGGCAATCATCTAAAGACATCACCAGTCTTTAACTCAAAATCCTATATATTGATGAGATATCAATGGAATCCTCAGAATTTAAAAAAATGATTTCAGGATTGTGTTTTCTTCGCATCATTATGCCCTGTGTCACAAATTATGTCCCGCGTAAGGTTGTGGGCGAAACCTCTTAATGACTGTCGAAACTCTGTCGAAACTCTAATGAACAATTAATGTGTAACCTGTCAAAACTCTGATGATTGGCAAAAACCCCAAATGCGAAACTCTGCCAAAACTCTAATAAACAATTAATGTGTAACCTGTCGAAACTCTGTCGATTGATTTCTGGAGGAGTTTCTCCCACAACCTTAGTCCCACGTCACAAATTATGTCCCGTGTCATGAAGTATGCTTCGCATCATGAATTATTCTGCATCATGAATTATGCCTCACATCACAAACTATTGAAGACTCTAGCTTTCATATGATTATTACTTGTGGCATTGGTTAATAATATTATATGTCAATTTTCTTAAGACAGACAATTATTAAAAACATGTATTTTTCTTGAAGAACCATCCATGTAAATATTTTTTTTTCTTGCTTTAACCACATAAAGCACTTGGCTATATATATTCAGGATAATTCACTTCACATACTATCTAAATTATCGCCTAGAAGAAATGATATTGAAAAATTTTTGTATGTGCTGCACTATTTTTTTTTTACAAAAAAAAAAAAATATCAAAAATATTATATATATGTACAATAATTATATACCAAAAGCTTTATTTATATTAATAATAGCAAAACTTTTCCCTTTAATTTTTACAAATTGATAAAAAATTCCTAACCAAAAAAAAGACAAGGAACAAAAATAATACTTATTTGTAAAAAATTATTAAAATTATTACAAATAATAATAATATTATTTTGATTGTTAAAAAAATAATAATTGTTTGATCTTTTCTTAATAATTTTAATATTTCATCATTATTTTTTTCTTGCTTTTTGTCTTTATATTTAATTAATATATTGAATTTATTACCTTTTTCTAAAATTGTTAAAATTGTAAAATTATTGTTTGGTACAACATACCATGTTTTAGGATAAAGTTTTTTTGCCATCACTGTTTGTCTTATATCTAAGATGATATAATCTTTCATTGGTATTAGAGAGTACTTGCCATCTAGATAGAAATTTCAGCAGTCAATAGATTATGTCTAATTATATATCTATTAAAAAATTATATTCTTTTCTCCATTTACCTTCTTTGAATCTGTTATAGTGTTCCTTCATCCTAAGGTTGCAGGAGAAACTCCTCCAGAAATCAATCGACAGAGTTTTGACAGGTTACACATTAATTGTTTATTAGAGTTTCGGCAGAGTTTCGCATTTGGGGTTTTCACCAATCATCAGAGTTTCAACAGGTTACACATTAATTGTTCATTAGAGTTTTGACAGAGTTTTGACAGTCATTATTAAGAGGTTTCGCCCACAACCTTACTTCATCCCCACTCCATCAATAAGCAACTCGATCCCCCACCCATACTTTGGAATATAAAGGTCAATTATTCCATCATCACAATACATTCTTCCTACTTCTAATGAAATATTTGCTTTTTCATACAAATGTTCTTTTAATGCACAATATAATTCGACCTGCCAAAGTCTTTCTAATATTTTTTTACCATCTTTTGACTTTCCATGGCTATTTAAAAAAGCATTTGAATCAATTTTTGATAGTGCTTCTTTGATTAATTCACATAATGTGAATCCATCATCATTTTTTTCATCATATAAAGGTGTTGATGATGGTTCTGTTGGTGTTGATGATGGTTCTGTTGGTGTTGATGATGGTTCTGTTGATGTTAATGATGATTCTGTTAGTATTGATGATGATTTTGTTGGTGTTGATGGTGATTCAGTTTGTGATGATTCAGATGCTGATGGTGATGATGGTTCAAATGATGATAATTGTAAAAGGACATTTTTCTATTATTAGATAAAAACTATTAAGTAATTTTCTTTAAAAAAAATTTAATGTTTATATTGATTGCTTTTCAGTAAATAACCAAGCCATAAACATGGGTTGGTCACCAAAACCACAAATATGGGTCAAATTGAAGCCATAAACATGGGTTGGTCACCAAGCCATAAATATGGATCAGTTCTCAACAAATTGAAGCCATAATAGGGTCAACAGTCATCATTAATAAGAATGATTTTTTTTTTTTCATCACTGTATAATTATATAATTAATATATATATTAACAAAAAAACTAACTTTTTTAAATTCTTGTGCAGCACTTTTGTTGGCATCACTTTCATTTTCATCTTTTATAATATTTCCTATTTGTCTTTTATAATGAATATTTATTTCACTATAATCATCATATCCAAGTATTTTCATAAAAGAACAGAAAGATTTGAAATCCCATTCACTATGTGGCTTGAATTTAAAATAGTTTCTCATAAATATGCCAACACCCATTTTTTATTGTAACAAGTAAATCATTTGAAAATTTAGAATAGAGATAGAACATTACCAGACACATTCATAATATTATTTCTTTGTTTTAGATGAATAGATAGATGGATAAGATGGATATAAATAAGTTAGTGTACTGTACCACACTGAATTCTAAATATAGTAATTTTGATATTGACCATTATTTTTCGTTTATAACCAAGAATCTAGGTCTTGAACTTGGGGATGATTGCTATGCAGCAAGGATGCAAAATGAATTTTCAAAGACAATTTTCATATAAAAAATTGGTTGTAATTGATGAAAGCTATCATGACTACTTAGTATTAGTATTAGGGAGTTTCTCATTAATATTGTCACCAATTATTGTTTGGGAGAGCATGTTAATTGATGATAACAATATAAAATTTATGATTATGTGAATCAGAATGAATTGGATACTAATGAATTGGCTACTAATGAATTAGTTTTATTAGTGAATAATTTTGGTTTAGTGATTTAAGAAAAACATTTTATTTAGTCGAAACTAATTTATTAACTTATTACTAAGTTAACTTTAAAACTTTATTACAATGTTAAAGTTATTTTACAAGCAAGTCAAATTTGAGCTTCTTTTATACAATTAAATTAATTAGTAACAACTTCATTGCAATCTAGCATTCTAGCTGCAATATCGCACTTTAATTGTGACATAACATTCTAACCGCGATGCTAATTTCTAAATAAAGTTAACTAATTTCGACGTTATACAAATAAAAATAAAAATGTAATACAAATAAAATAATAAATATGTAAATGTTCATAATAATGTAATATTTGGACATTTATTTTCCGTATTTTATTTTTTATAGAGATATAAGCCGGAATAATTTTTATAATAATCTATTA